TTTGAATCGTTTGACTAACTGCAGTGCCATTAGCACAAAAAAAGTGGGAATAATATCCATACAAAAATGGCTACAGCTAGAGGACCAGAATCGGACATATTTTATATTAGTCGAATATGCTATGTAGCGATCAAAGAGCAAACGAAATGTTTCATCGAATGAGGCAAAAAAGATCTATGGATTTGAATATGCCAAAATTTTTTGATTCAATGCCAGCTGATATAGACGTTGCGGATATTACAGCCATATTTTTTACGCAAAAGTCTTGACAAAAAGTATCAGTTCACATTGCTTATAGTTTTAATATTGTACAAATATTTTGTTATAGTGACAAGAAGGAAAAACAAAATGCGCTATAGTTTACCATCTTACAATCTTTACATTAGACGTACGCCTTTACGCATAAACGAAATGTGCATTGCAAACCATGGACTGGAATAACAGTCTTTTTGGCATTTTGAGCATGCAGGTTTAGCACATCAAAATTTTGCCAACCATTGAATACATGCGCAAAGAACAGTATTTTTTCTACGTATTTACTGCTACCGTAACTGTATATATCACTGAGCAGGCAAAAACCCAAGCTATAAATGAATTGGGGAAGGAGAAGGAGAAGGAATTAGAGTGATGCAGAAATTGGCTGAAAAAAAAACTCAGAAACAGTGAGAAGTGCGAAAATATGTAGACGAAGCATACAGTAAAAATAATACAAATCTTTATACGGATTTATTAAAATACGTTTATTAAGACAGAAACGGAAGGAAAAGTTAGTTCCAAACAGTTTATTCTTCAAGTACAGTGCACGCATATTACTTTAGCAAAAAAAAAAAAAGAAATTTCTTTAAAACAAATTAAATTATTTGTCAAAACTTTTGGCCAATATGTTCTATAAAAAAAGGTGCGGATAGAGTAAAATGCAGTGACGGACAATTACTGCCGACAACGTCTTCTACAATAATATAGAGCTGCAAAATATGCTCTCCGTCTTAACCGGCAACTGCCCTGAATTATTCCGCGATGTACGAAGAAAACAGTTCGCTTGAAACGGCATAACGCGCGTATTTAATGCTATGCACCATACCAATTCATTGTTCATGGATCAGAGCTGTGGGTTATTCGGGCTATCATAGGTGGCATATTGCTCAGTTTCTTTGCTTTGTTGTTTTTGCTGCAGTTTTTGTTACCTTTGTCCCTCATGCTTTTCTCTTGTCGTTGTTGTTGTTGTTTTTTTATTTTTTTAGCTGTTATATTTTCAGCGTTATGGAGGTGGGAAATATACGAAATTTTAGTAGGAGTGCTGAAAATATCCTTGCAATAATTTACTACGAATTTTAAATCGGTATTTTAATGCAGAAATTCGGTACTCGTTCAGAATGTTCATTGTGCATATTTCGTACATATTGCTAATAAATTTCGTCAACTTAATGAATTTACGAATTTTGTTTTTTTTTTTTT